GGAATGATGAATGTAAAAAGAATGCAATGGGAGCTTATCTAAAAAAAGGAGCTTGTGACTGGTATCTTGGATAGGCTGCTGACAATAGTGGGCATGATTGGGCCATTCTCCGTCAAGCCTTTGAAAATAAATTCTGTAATGACGATTTTAGAGATCAATGGTTAAAAGAATTAAGAGGATTAAAACAACGAAAAACTGAATTCATCGAAGAATATTATTATCAGGTCATGAGAATGGCCACAAGAGCTATACTTGATATAGCTCGGACTCTTCCCTATTTCATTAAAGGATTACTTCCAGAAATATGAGCTGTTGTCAAAACTCATGCCCCTGCTAATCTAAATGCCACATTACTTAAAGCTAAACAATATAAACAAGAAAAAGGAGAAGTCAAGAGACGTAAAAAGAAAATTAAACATTATGAAAGTTCCAGTGATGAATTTGATAGTAGTGAAAGTGAAGACGAAAAATCTAAAAAGAAAAAGAAGTCATTCAAGAAGAAGAAAAATTTAAGTAATGAAGAAATAGATGAACTAATTAAACGCTTTAACAAATTGCAAATCAATTTAATGCAACAAGTCAAAGGTTTGACCCAGAAACTCAGATATCAAAGCCAAAAAAGAAACAATAACTCTCGTGAATTTAATAGAAATAACAACGACAACAACAATAATAACAATTATAATAGTGGATCTCGTAGATGCTACATCTGTAACGAAATCGGTCATTTTGCTTGAGATTACTTGATAGAGAAAAAGCTGCAACAGCAACAATCACAACAATATCAAATTCTAAACTGCAAGAATGTTAGTTATGTCGAGTATGGCAATAATGATATTGAAGAACATGAAGCATATGAAGCAATGAGAAATAAATCCAATAATCGACCCTCACCTATTCGTAAACTGGGAAAACCTCTAAAAACTACTACCACCCCAAATTCACCTCCACCAAAAGTTCAAGTATAAGAACCTGAAGTCCTAGTTGACTTTAAGCAAAATCCATATGAAGAAGAATCCATAGAAGAAGTTAAACCAACCGAAGTGAAACCTGCAAAGAAACCTAGGATGAAATGCCAACCTTCTATTATTGATCAAATGACACCATACAGTGCGTTAAGAAAGTCTTTGGACAACTTCACGCATTAATAATTCAAAAACTACTGCATCACATCACATGTACAATGGCTCATTAGAAGCCGATTGATTAAAGATTTATTTAAAAAAAAATTTAATACATTTAATATGGGATACGTTCCCCATTTTTTTCAATTATAAGTTTGCATCGTTCTTTCATGGATCCCACCAAGTTTTCTAAAATACTTTCTGGGATTTTTTCCCATTCTTCTACCATAAACCACTCTAATTCAGTTAAATTTTTTGGCCAACGTTTTTCAACCTTTCCCTTAACTATACTCCACAAATTTTCTATTGGGTTGAGATCGGGACTATTAGATGGCCAATCGATTACTATCGGGGCATTCTTTGCTAGAAATTCTTTTGCAACTTGACTTGTATACTTGGGATCATTGTCTTGTTGAAACTGCCAATGGTTCCCAAGCATTTTTTGAATTTCAGGAAAGTGTTTCTTTAAGATTTCCACATAAAATGGACCGTTCATAATTCGTTGGAAGCTAAAAAAGCTCGTTTTTCCTCTTGACCAAAAACCTCTCCAGGAAAAAATTTTTCTTTTATCTTTTGGGACTCATCGTACCGGGCGTTTTTCTTTGTACCAATATTGTACTGTATTATGAAACAATTGAAATGAAGTTTTATCAGTAAAAACAGTTCTATTCCAATTATTATTTCGATATTTTTTTGCTCACGCTATACACTTTTGCATGTGTTCGCTTATAAGCATTGGCGTTACCTCTGCTCGATTTTTTTTATAGCCAAGCTCAGTCAAATGATTCCAAACGGTTACATGCGAGACCTGAACTTCTTTTATTAAAAGTTTTGTGATCAGCGCTTTTGCTGAAATTGATAGTTCAGTTTTTATTTGTTTGACTAAAAACTTGAAGCTTCGGGAAGAGATTTTTCAGGGGCGACCACTACGATTTCAGTGACTAATACTACCAGTTTTTTTAATTTAGAAATATTGTAATATACTGTGGATCTAAGAATACCCGTTCGTTTTTGTATTTCTTTTGCAGTTTGGATTTCTCTGTCCCATAATTGTTGGATGGCTTTGGCATGTACATCTTGAGGGCCGCTCATTTTTTAGTTATTTATTAAAAAAAAATGGAACTGAAGTTCAATAAACAGTACAAAGAAAAAAAGATCGATATGATAATCAATTAATAATATATGGGTCACAAGGTTTGTAACCTAAAACAGACGAATTAGATAATTGATTTTCATCATGTAAATCTTGTCCAAAGACTTTCTTAACGCACTGTATGATATTTCACAAGATATTTTGAATATGCAAGCAAGCGCAAAGATTGGACAATTGCTAAAATATTCAGACCAAAAGAAAAATATGTCAAAAATTTTAAAACGACCTGCTCAAAAGGAAACTAACCATGTTGAAATTAACAAAGTCAAAAGAACTACCGTTGCTAAATGCTATGTTCGCATTAAGAAAAATTCTGTGATCACTGTACTTTGCTCTAACGTAGCAGTTAGTATTATAACTAATCGGTTAAGAAAGAAGTTAGACCTTGCAATTGACGAATCCTCCAAAGTAGTTGTAATTACTGCTAATGGCGTGAGACAATGAGCTTTAGGACAAATTAACTCTGTACTATCGTTATACAAAACTTGCTGGTTTATATGAAATTACAAGTAATTGACTCTTCCGAAAAAACTCTATTATTGGGAACTGATTTTTTTGAGAAAACCTGTGCTCAGTGGAACTTTGCTGCTAATATATTAAAGCTAAGATATAATGGAAATGAAACTGTGGTCCAAACTGCACATACACATAATGATCCATTGGAAATGGAATCTGAAAATGAAAAAGAAGATAATATAATCCAACAAGAATTGGAATATGACTTAGAAAATGATTTAGATGAAAATGAAACATACTACTCTGAATTATCTGACCAATGGGATGAAGAGGATTTATACTTAAACCCCTGGCAAGATTGTGATACTAAAACCTTTGATACAAAGGAACCAAAAAATTTTGATGATGAAAATCTTGCCATATATTTAACCGAAACCGCTACTGTAAAAACTTCTGAATTCCAAGTTGGAATATTAGATGAATCACAAGAAAAATCAGCTGACAAGTTATTTGCTGAGTTTGCGGATGTGTTTGCAGAAAATATATCTGAAGAAGGTCAGACAAGTGAACTGGAACAAACTCATGTAGTGGAACATGAAATCAAAACTAAAGATATTGTACTAATCAAACAACGTACATACTGACTAGCAATCTCTGATCAGAAGTTTGTAAAAAGGAAATTAGAAACAATGGAAGAAAAAGGAATAATTCGAGAATCTTCTAGCCCCTGGACCTCACCAATTGTCCTTGTACCAAAGAAAAATGGGAAAAAATGACTATGTGTCGACTATACTTGCACGTAAAATTATTTTGAGGCCCTAAAATTGTAATTTTGGGAAAAAAAGTCGAAATAGTTTTTCATAGAAGACGAAATTATTTTACTTAAAATCTGAAATTTTTTGACCACCCAAATTTATTCTTTGATTAAAGATAGATATAACTAGATACTTTTTTTACTTCCATATATAGAATAGATTTTGCATAAATCTCAAAAAGTCGAAATACCTCAAA